CGTATGTACAGTGGTGGCCAAAAGTCTTAGAACAAAACATTTAACGACCAAAAAAAATTATTTTTGATCTAAAGTGTAAATTTTGAAGGTTTGATGCTTTTGCTTTTACATAGCAATATGTTTATAGTTTCATATTTGTGTATTGTGCAATTTATTATCGTTTTTTATTATTCATAAGCAATTTATGCCAGAACTTTCACCTAAAAAAAGAGGAATTATAGCTGCATTATATGAACAAGGTTTAGTTTAAAGAGAAATATCTGAAAAGCTTGTTTGTTCATTATCAACTGTAAGTAGAACTTTAAAAAGGCATAAAGAAGAGCCCCAATTAAATTTTACTTCAAAGATGAGATCAGGCAGGCCCAGAGCAACCACCTCAAGAACTGACAAACTTATTGGCCGGATCAGCCATGCAAATCCACGGCTATCTGCACACGAGATTTCAAAAGAAATTTTTATTGAGAAAAAAGTAAGCGACCGAACAGTTAGAAGAAGGCTTTTGGTTGATTTCAAAATGAAGGCATGCAAGCCAGCAAAAAACATTTTGTCAGCGCTACAAAAATTGGACTGGAGAAAATTAGTCTAAAGTTCTTTTTTATGATGAAACATGTATTAAACAATTTAATGTTACAAACAACTTTGTAAGAAGACCAAAAAACTGTAGATATATGCCAAAATATACAGTTAGCAGTGTCAAGGCTCCTGTGTCTTGTATGGTTTGGGGTGCTATTTCTGCCAAAGGACGTGGGCCATTATGGATAATGCCCAAGAATACCACAATAAACAGCAAAGTCTATTTGGATGTTATGAAGGAGAAGTTGCCACCTTTCATGCAGATCTTGAACTGCACTTATTTCCAACAGGATGGTGCACCATGCCACACAGCCAAAATTGTAAAGAAGTGGTTTGCTGATGAAGGAATTCAAACCCTTGAAAATTGGCCTGGGTCATCTCCAGATTTTAATGTTATTGAAAATTGTTGGCATATTATGAAAGTAAAAGTTGCTGCCAAAAGCCTAGATCCTATAATGATATAGTTGAAACAATCAAATCAGTGTGGATCCATGAAATGGATCAGAACATCAGACTATTGTACAAAACTTGTTAACAGCATGCCAAAACGTATCCAAATGGTAATTGACAATAACTATGCTTCCATTAAATATTGAACTTCTATCATGTGTGTGCATGTACCCGTCATCTTTAAAATTGTTATAAACACTTAATTTATTGAAAAAAATGAAAAAATTTACTAATAAATTGCTTTTCACACAAATATATTGATTTCATAACATAAAATATGATGTTCCAGGACTTTTGGCCACCACTGTAGATAATAGTTTTCTCTCTTATAATTAATTATATTTACGTCAAAATCTTTTACAAATCTTATTATCACCGCGGGAGAATAACTTCATTGTAACTTCAACGTTGAATTTCGTTTAAGAAGCTTTTTTGAAGTATGTTTAACAAGTATACACAAGTAAAAGAATATATAATTAACTATATAACTATTTCTGCTGGTTATAGCTTTTTTAAAAGCCTTAGCGTAATTTCACTAAATGCAACATTTTGTATAAATACAAACGAGGAATTTAATAGTGATAAAAACAAAATAATCTCTATAGGTTTAACTTAATAATCAAAAGACAACATCTCTGTTTCTGATATTGCATCAACATGTATTTACTTAGAGTATCGGACAAAACAAGTGCAACCAAATAATGCTAATTTAGTTTCTTTATATAAAAGTGCTGCATTTTTTCAATTTAGAGAAATAACAACGTAACTGTTTAGAGTCAACATTCTTCAAGTTTTATTTATCACAAATTTCATTATTTGTACACGAAAATTAATAATTAATCAAAAGTATTAAAAAAAGTTGATTTTCTTCTGGACAAAACAAGTGCAACTCCACAAAATATTGACCAAGCTGTATTTTGCCATATGAGATGTAGCAAACAGGAGTTTTTTCTTCTGGTTCTTTAGTGAAATTAGCGGTTTCTTTGCAGGGCATCGAGAAAACAATCCGGCTTCAACAGCATGTTGTCTAATTGTTCGGTCCGATACAGGCAGCTATAATTGCTTTTGTATTTCGACTGATGATATCCATGAATTCTTCTTGGCGGATCTAAAGATCATAGAATCCTCTCTAAAAGTGGTGGAACTCTGTCTTCCACCTTTGTTATCTGCTGCTAACTTCCCCGTAGAACGATATTTGGAACATAGTCTTGATACGGTCCACTTTTTACGCGATATTTATCACAAATACTTTTTCGTAACATTCTACTTTCGTAATCGCCAATAATTTTCTTTCTTAGTTCCAATCCAAGACTGTCGGGAGCCATTTTTGCACTTGATGTCATAAAAATAATAAAAATAAATAATCACGCTTCTCAAGGCTTACCGTGTTACATTTACCTTGTGATGATACAATAATGCTCTGTGGAACACAACGTCTTGGTTGGATGTGGACTGTATTGATGTGATGAAACAATTGTTGTATTTCTTTTCTTGTATTGATGTTCTTCGATGAACTGTCTTGGTAATACTGACTGATTGACTTCCATATACAGACTGAATTACATGTCGGTTTACATGTCTCTTATATAGTAAAATAAACCAGTGTGAACGTGTTCTGGAAGAATCTAGATGCTTCTTTTCGATGCTTCTGGAAGCTTCTGGATGCGTCCGGATGCTTCTGAATGTTTTTGAATACTTCTGGATGCTTTCAGATGCTAATTCTGGAAACTTCTGGATACTTTCTTTATTTATTAAAAAACTTCCGTGACGTTGACACGGACCAGACTTAAGATAATGAAACAAACCAAAAAAGTTGCACTTGTTTTGTCCGCTGCAAAATGGCACTTGTCAACTGCCTGTGTGCTGTCACCTGATTGCTCATGTCATGGCATGCTATGACTCCAGACTCCTGAACTGTTTGCTGCGGTAGTATAGTTCGGTTCGTTTTAAGACATGTAAAATTAGGAACACTTTTTAGCGTTGTTCGATGTTGGTTGCAAATGTTTTGTCCAATACTGTATATAGTATCAGACTAAATTTTGAAAGAAGAGCTACTAAACATAAAATAGCTGGTTATCAGTTATTCAAAGAGAACTATTTAAAATCAGCAACATATTCAACTTATTTCACCATGAACTAGATCATAAAGTATCGGCAGAATGGCATTTTGCTACATCATATGGAAAGAATGCTTGCCATGGCGATGAGGGCTCTGTAAAAAGACATGTAGCTAAGGCCAGTTTACAATCACTTACAGATCCTATCAATTCACCTGAGAAAATATTTGATTGGTGTAGACATAATACCAAAGGAATATATTTTAAATACATTTCAAATGATGCAATTGTATTACATTGCAAAATTTAAATTAGAAGAACGTTGTGCTACTTGTTCAACAATTCCAGGAACAAAAAAATTGTTTTACTGTTTTATACCAAGTTATAAGAGTTGGTTGACTTGTCAACACAATGCACAAGTTGATTATGAAATAAAGAATACTATTATGTAACAAATAATCAATTTAAACATTGAATTTTTTAAATAAATTTTTGCAATAGCTATGTTTAAATCATTTTTTTGCAAGATTCAATGCAATTGATTGTTTATTACATAATAATATTCTTTATTATATAATCAATATAATGCATTGTGTTGACAAGTCAAATAACTCTTATAACTTGTTGTATAACTTGTAGTACTGGTTATGAAATATTTTTAAATTCATACATACTTTGTATTACAACATATAATACAAACTAAAGTACAACAACTTTATTTTCATTGTTTTTAATGCATTTTGGGTAATTTTTATTGTTCTCATTTTGTAACTTCCCCATAATTACCCACTCCTTTTTTGCCCTGAAATCACTGCAATAAAGTCTATTAAATAAGAAGAAAAAAAAATCTTATTAAAACCAGTGTTGATTCTAGGTTATCAGTGGTTTGAAGAGGTAGCACATTTTCCTAAGATTTAGCTGCAGCCATTATTAGAGGTCTATAATTTTTTACTGAATTGTATCTTCTCAATAAATTTATAAAAATTTAGAAGTCTACCATTTTTATATAGAAACTAAAAAGATATTTCTTTTCACTTCTTAAAATGCAGGTTTTGTATATTTACTCATCAAAAATTAACTTTTTAAACTTACAAACAATTTTTTCGGTTTTTTAGGTAACCATTATGGAAAAAATATGACATTCAAGATTTCAATGTCAAAGTTTTATAATGTAATTATTAATTTATTAAAGTCTAGAGTTGTATACAATAAAAAAAACTAGAAGATTTTCTAAAATTTTGTTTTTAAAATATAGAGCTTTAAAGCATGAACATAACATGTTTTTGCTACTGAAGTTGTTATTTTTGGAAAAATCAGAAATTTTAAATGACCATATTTCATGAACTACAAAAGATTTTAAGCTGAAATTTTCAGGATTTGCTTTTCTCATTGATATTAACAAACCTAAGTTTCATCAAAATCTGAGGTGGTCCATGTTGAAATCCTAAAATGCAATATGAACGTCATAGACGATAAAATGATTTTACGCACAAATGTCATAATGCAAAAAAAAAAAAAAAAAAATGAAAAAATAAAAAAAAAAATTCTTTAAATGAGAAGAATATATTTTGTTTTAAAGTTTTTTTGTTTGCATTTAAGAGTAATGTACATCATGCATGTCAAACCCAAATTTTTAAATGGCTGCACAATTTGCTACAAACAATCTTAGAACAAATTCTAGTCCCAAAAAACATCAACAGTTTGTATGTGCATGACTAATACTTCAGAAAAGTACATTTTAAATACAAGAGTATCAGTTTGGGTTATGTAAATTGCATACATTTACCACAAAATGTGCTAGACAAGCACAGAAGGAGTTTTTTTTTTTTAATCTTAATTTTAATGAATTTGTCAAAATTAAAATTAAGATTAAAAGATAATTTATCTAAACAACAACGTATTTCTATAAGAAAATTAAAGATGAATTCCGATATTAAAATTTATTCCTTTGATAAAGGCACAGGTTTTGCACTACTATACCAAAGAGATGCATCTCTTAAATTAGAAGAAACAATTAAAAATAGCAGAATTATTGATCATGACCCAACACCCACACTTACTACCAAATTTCAAAAACAATTATCTAAATTAAGAAAAGAGGGTAAACTAGACACAACTGCATATTTTAAAATGTATCCGTCAGATTGTGTACCACCTAGAATATATGGAATGGTTAAAGCGCACAAACCTGAAAAAGATAACCCAATGCGCCCTGTTGTCAATCAACACACCACCATATGGAATATCCGAATACCTCGTTAATATCAATCAACCAACATTAAATAAAAACAAAAATAGACTTATTAATTCCAATAGCTTTGTTAATGAAGCCAGACAATGGAAAATAGATCCCAATGAGGTTTAAGTTTCATTTGATGTAGTCAATTTATATCCGTCCATACCCATTGACGAAGCTATTCCAGTTATTATTGATATATTGAATAATGATATAGACGACTTAAAGACTCGAACTAAACTATCTCTTGTAGACATACATCAATTAATAGAACTTTCATTGAGTATTTGCTATTTTCTATATGAAAACAAAATCCGAATAATACCTAATTCAGGTCCTATAGATTTGTCTTTAATGGTTGTTATGGCGGAAGCGTTTTTACAGAATATAGAAAGAAAAGCTCTTGATATAGCTACTATTTGTACATGTGAACCAAAAACTTTTGTGAGATATGTAGACGACTGTCATGCTCGCTTTAACTCAATAAAACAACAGCAAATGTTTCTAAATATCCTAAACGAACAAAACCCTTCCATAAAATACACTGTTGAACTCGAAAACCACCAAAAACAACTTAACTTTCTAGATGTTAATATTACAAACATAATGCATGGAGCTTATGAATTTCAAATACATCGAAAAGAAGCAATAACTAATATTCAACTAAAACCTAACTCAAACATCAATCCTAATATTATCACTGGCGTATTCAAAGGGTTTTTATGTCGTGCAAAGAGATTATGCTCTCAAAAATATCTCAAACAAGAAATTGATTTTCCAATAGAAGTGTTTGTTGAAAACGGGCACAACAAGAACAATCTAATTAATATCGCCAGAAACTTTCTAAAAAACGAATTAAAAAATACCAATTATAAACCAACTGACAACCAACCATTTATAAAACTACCATGGATACCAATCGTTGGTCCCAAACTTAGAAAGGAACTTACAGTTATATTTACATCCGCTCCAAATTTAAACAATATTTTATGCAACAATAAGACAAAACTTCCTCCAAATACAAACCCAGGCGTCTACGAACTAAAATGATCATGCAATTCTATATACATTGGAGAAACTAAGAAGAAAGTTATATCGAGATGTATTGAACACCAGAAAAATAGTGTTTAAGGAAAATGGGCCAGTTCAGGTGCTACCGAACATTCCAAATCATGCCAGGGTACATTTGATTGGTTACATCCCAAAACCATATCAATCGCTCCAGAGTATCATATTCGGAAAATTCGAGAGTCACTCGAAGTAAACAGAGCTAAAGTTCGACAAAAACTTGGAAGTGATGAAAAAGTTTTAAATAGGGATGATGGTGATTACGTGACGACAAAAACTTTGGGGCCATTTTTTGTTAGATTATTTGACGTTAACATTTAAAGCTATTTTGTATTTTGTTATGCTCTTTTTAATGTTATCTTTTTAACGGTTAGTTTTTATTACAACAATTTTCTTTGTAACGATTTTATTTATTACACCTGACGACGCTGATCACAATAGATCAGCGAATTATCGAAAAAAAAAATATATGTATATTAAAATAAAAACAAATATATATTTTTTAAAAAGTTTATACGCAGCCGTTTTTATTGAATTTTACATATTTTATTATTATCGTATAACAAGAAAATGACTTTTAAAGATTATATATATATATATATATATATATATATATATATTATATATATATATATATACATATATATACATATATATATATAAATATATATATATATATATATATATATTTATATATATATATGTATATATATGTATATACATATATATATATATATATATATATATATATATATATATATATATATATATATATATATATATATTATATATATATATATATATATATATATTTATATATATATGTATATATATGTATATATATATATATATATATATATATATATATATATATATATATATACATATATATATACATATATATATATAAATATATATATATATATATATATATATATATATATAAATATATATATATATATATATATATATATATATATATATATATATACATATATATATATATATATATTTATATATATATATATTTATATATAATCTTGCATGTTAGTAAGAAAGTTTTTCCCATAAATTATAGTTTTGAAGAGCGCGTTAATAAACCAGACCAGAAAAGGTTTAAAAACAACTTCTTTTTTTATTCTTGAATGATAGACTGCCTGCCCAAACCAAACTCTCAGTCGATGTAGCAGCACTCCCTTGCGAGTCAGGCTATTTGTCAGTCAATGTAGCAGCACTCTGTTGTGAGTCAAGCTATAAGATTGTCAATGTAGCAACCCTACCTTGTAGCAGCAGGCTATAAGATAATCTATGTAACAACACTCTGCGCATGTTTAAAATATATTTTAATAAAAAAACAACAAAAACACCATTAATTAAAAAAAAACTTTCTAGTCATTATTATTGTGGTTTTTTAAAAAAACAATAAAATTTTATGTACTTCCGCATTAATTTAATTGAATTTTGACATTTCGACAACAATAAAATGTAGCTTAATTGTCAAGGTAGCAAAATTGTAGTCAAGAGACTTTTTTTTTACATTAAAAGTTTCTTTCGTCTACGATATAAGGATATATATATATATATATATATATATATATATATATATATATATATATATATATATATATATATATATATATATATATATATATATATATATATATATATATATATATATATATATATTACAAAATACTACTATAAAAAAATATGAATTTAGATATTTAATTAGCATAAAAAATTTAATGGATTCTGTCAATAAATTTGGCTTTTTTAACACTTACACACACACAAGATAAAAATAAATGCTATAAAAATTATAAAAAATTTTAGAATATTAATTTCACAACAAACAATTTTCTTTAAAAACTTGTTTAAATGCTTTTACACATCTGAAAACATCATCTTGACAAATATTTAAATGTGTCACAAATCGTAAAATAGACGAAGAAAAAGGTGAAGACAGAATAAGGTGTTTACTTAAAGCATCAGCAATTGCTTTAGCGGCACCATCAGGTGTTTTTACAAATACAATATTGGTTTGCACCTTTGTTAAATCTACTGTAACACTTGGTAGTTTTAGTTCATAAATTCCTTCAGCAAGAAGTCGAGCATTAACATGGTCTATTTTTAACTTTTCACGGGCGTCTTTTAAAGCAAATAACCCTGCAGCAGCCAGTATTCCACCTTGTCTGATACCACCACCCAAACATTTACGCAAACGAATAGCTCTTTTTATAAATTCTTCAGTACCTCCTATTACAGAACCAACTGGACATCCTAAGCCTTTTGATAAACACATAGAAACAGAGTCAATATTTTTAAGAAGAGATTGAACAGGCTCATTTAGCGCTACCGCAGCATTATAAAGCCTTGCACCATCAACATGCACTTTTAAGTTATACTTTAGCTTTAGATCAGCTACGTTTTTTAAGTAGTCAAGCGATAAGGGTGTTCCACCCGAAAGTAGATGAGTGTTTTCTAAACAAATTAGTTTTGTCTCACAAAAATGAAAATCACTTTTATCAGTTATATTTTCCTCAATATCTTTCAACGAAATAGTCCCATTACATTCATTTGGAAGCACTCGTGCAGGAATCGAACCCAATTGCATAAAACTACCTTGTTCATAACAATAAAGATGCTGTTTTGCTCCTATTATTATTTCCTCTCCACGACCATTAACATGAGCCATCAAACAAAGCAAATTCCCCATTGTCCCGGTAGGAACAAATAAAGCTTTCTCCATACCAAATAAATCTGCACAAAACATCTCAAGCTCATTAACAGTAGGATCTTCTTTGTAGACATCATCACCAACAGCAGCTTTCATCATAGCTTGGCGCATATCAGGAGATGGTTGAGTCACTGTATCTGAACGAAAATCTATTACTCCTGACTTTGTAGTCATTTTATAAGACTGCATGGATATTTTGTAAGACCGCATGGATATTTGACTGAGTATAAATTTTGTTTTCCTAAATACTGTATTGCTATTCATATTCTAGCCTAAATTATGAAACAAAAAATTAAATTATATTTATACAAAAATGTAGGCAAAGGTGAAAACAAGTTTTGAAAAAGAACTAAAAATATTCTCTGTATTAAAACATACATATAAAAACTTAAATTAATGATTATTTAAAGATAATATTAAAAAAAAATCTAAATTCGCATTTAATAGTATTGAAATAATCGTTTGTCATTTCAATATTGTTTAATACAGAATTAAAGCGTAAATTTACTAGTTTTTATCTGTTATTTAACAAGTTGTAAACAGCTTGTGCATAGTAATGATCGTCATCAAAGTGGACCTTAGAGTATAACTTGAACTGTTTTACAAGGTTCCATTCTCGGACCAATAATTTTAATCTATGTAAAAGGTTTGAACAAAGCTTCTTAATTGAAAAGTATAATTTTTGCTGATGATAATCTTTTCTTATGCCATACTGATATTTATGAACTCTTTTCAACTACAAGCAAAAAACTCTATCATATTTTAAATTGTTCAAAGCTAATTAATTAACTTTAGATATTAAAAAAATAAAATGAACTATTTTTCACTGGTGTTCAAAAAACATTTCCAACCAAAAATTATGCCTTAGATGTTTATCTTGATGAGAATTTTAAATTTAAAAGGAAACTTGAAACATTTGAAACTTGGAAAACAAATTAATCATGTAAGTTTCTAAAAATATTTCCAAATATACAAAGCCCAAAATTATCTAAATAAAAAAAACTTAACCAAACCATATTATTCATTTATATACAATTATATAAACTATGCAATCATTACCCGGGGAAGTACAGAGAGAAGTAAATTACAACATCTTTATCGCCGTCATAAACATGCAATCAGCATAGTTAATTATGCGTATCACTTTTCACATTCAAACTATTTAATGGATTATATAAATGGATATATAGATATTTATAAATGTGTACTAAAATGTTTATAAACTGATAAAAAAAAATTTACTAGATCTTTATTAAATGTGTTATTAACTTAACACATTTAATGTTTTATGTTTTACTTTTAAATGGAAAAAAAAAGTATCTTTATTTGTTTTTAACAAATAAATCTTTAAAACCAGTAATTAAATAAACATTAGGAAATAAGTCTTTTAAATGAACCTTTTTGCAGAACAAATTTCAATCAATTTTTCATTGCCTATTATGCACCCGATCTTTAAAATAAAATAATATTACCAAAGTTTGATCCTTCTATTAATAACCCTGTTTTCAAAACTAAATTTAAAAAATTCGTTTTCTCTATGGACAACATTCTAAAATTCTATTAAAAATGTATGTAAAATGCATTTGTTAAATCTTCAGTATATTATATATATATAAATGTTAGAATGTTGTCTTTACATTATCTTAAATCTTCAACATATCTATATATTATGCTTACTTTTCAAGGTTCTGATGATAAGATCCTTATGATCTTCTTTCGGAAACCTAGCTTTATATTCTTAGTAAGCTGAATTGTATATATTTTGTAAATACAATCAATAATTATAAAAAACCTTCACATATATTAATACAGCAGAAACAAAACATGAATAAGCTAAAAAGTATTTTGTTTAAAAAGTATTTGTTAGGCACAAACAAAAGGTTTCATGAAAAAAATAAACACATATTTAGATAAAGAAACAAACCAAATGTAATTTTTTAAAGTTTTGTAAATGAAACTTGAGCAAGTACTGAAATCAACACACCAAGCTTTGTTATGACTTTTAGTAAAAGATTTCAATGTTTTTCAGTTATCCAAAAGTGTTAATGCATAATCTTTATTAGACAATGTTGTATGCTTGAGAGTAGCTGTTGCATGAGCCAAATAAACAGCCAATAAATGCTTACATATTGTGTGTGATCTTTTCTTTACGCATGAGTAATAAAATGTCGGACATGTACAGTATAAAGATGAACCCATTACTGTATAAACAGTTCCCATTGAACCATTCACCTTCAAAATAAATTTATATAATTTACTCAAGCACATATATATATATCAAAATAAATTTCTTCATATATATATCAAAATAATTTCTTCAAAATAAATTTATATGATTTACTCAAGCACATATATATATACATTTTTTTTTAACATCTTCGCTTCCAACAAGGCTGCAAGCAACCACTAATTAGTGTTGGAAGTTACTGGAAGAGAAAAGATGAAGATTGTAGACCAAGATAACGATTGACAGACGACTTAAAAGATTGCAAATTATATGAATCAGGAAAGCAAGATGAAGGAAGCGAAATCCAAAGCACTGATGTTCAAGGAAAAAAACTAGATGAATAAGAGTTTTTAGAGCACTTAGGAACAGTAACAGAAAAAGGATGAGACTTAATTGAATGACAAGTAACACGAGAATGAATTTTAGTAGATGGCACAAGAGACGCTAGCTCTTTTGAGCGGTGCCCATTATACTATTTGTAGAAAAGAGAAAGAGAAGCAACATTACGACGATGTGACAGAGGTTGAAGGTTGGCTGCAAGAGCAGGTCAAACTATGTTTACAATGCGTTTTTGCACCTTGTCTAAAAGAGAAAGGGCATCATTTGATGAAAACCATGGAGAAGAGTGAGGCTTGACCTAGGATCGTCAAGAGGGAATAAAGGATTCCATTCTAGCTTGAATCCACGAAGTTATGTAAGAAGCACATTTGTCAACAGGAAGACAAAAGATTTTTATCCAGGGGCCATCACGAAGAAAATCCCAGAAAGAGTCCCAGTCAGCTTTAAGGTAGTTGTAAGATGTACAATGATAGGGGGATTCTGATGGTAAAGAAGAATGAGATAATAGTTTTAGAGAGACCAAACCATGATCAGAAGCACCTAAGGGTGAGTGTGAAGAAACTGAACACTGACTAGGAGCAGAAACAAGACATAAGTCGAGTAGAGAATGTAAATGATTCAAGTTGTCTGGAAAGCGAGTTGGAAAGTTGACTATTTGAGTTAGGGATTAAGAAAGACAAAAATTGTAGGCCTTAATGCCTGCAGAGTCACTGACACTAGAGCCAAGCCATTCAGTGTGATGAACATTAAAGTCACCGACAACAACAATATTGGCTGATGGATAAAGAATGAGGGCTTGGTCAATATAATCAGAAATAACATCAAGAAGAGTGCAGTCTTGAGATGATGGAGAGCGATATAGAATAAAGAGAAAGGCAATAGAGTGAAGTGGTGCTAAACGAAAGCACATAAAAGAGTAGTCTGTGGATTCAAGCCTAGTTTCCCAATAAATGGGTGAATTCTTACAAATGTAAATGCCCAGGCCAAGCATGAGTCTTTACGAATTAAAGGAAGATAACCATCAACACTAAGATCACAAGATGAGACAGCTGAACTCAAATTAGTCTCACAAAGAGCAAGAGATAAGACTCAACAGAAAAAAAGTTACTTGGAAGACCACAAATATTTGGTGAATAATAGGTTTAGCGAACTTGGTGATGACTGTGGTTTTTTGTGTTTTATAGTTTTTATTACTTTATTCATTTTTAAATTTGTTAAAGAACTTAACTCGAAACATAGATATTACTCAGTACACTGTTTTATAACTCAAGCAATTGCCTCATTTCCACTAATAAACCCTAAGCCGTAACAAAGGGCTCCAATGTGGCCTTGGCAATGCACACCAAAAGTACAAACAGGGACACCATCCATGCGCATCATGGCACTGTTAGTACTCTGATATTTTTCAGCTGTTGATGGAATCAGCGTCTCTGAGAGCTACCACAGAGTTCGGGAAACCTGATTACCAGCCGGCCTCAGAACCATAAAACTGAGTTTTAGAGCTGTACCCTCATTTGAAGATAATAGAATGAATTGCCTAGTCATAAAAACAGAGACACAAGCAAAACCCATGCATCGAGTCAAGAAGATCCAGTGTTCAACATCCTAGACTGGAAACAATGTATTAAAAATACATCTGCGCCAGCCTAATAGATGAAGAAGGAGTGCAAAGCTGGTCATATATATATGTATAATATATATATATATACATATATATATATATATATATATATATGTATATATATATATATATATATATATATATATATATATATATATATATATATATATATATATATATATATACATATATATATATATATATATATATATATATATATATATATATATATATATATATATATATATATATATATGCAGATCTGGAATTACAGGCAGGCCGAATAGGCCATGGTCTTGGCGCCCCACAAAAAAAGGGCTCCAAAATTGAATTGCAATAAAATTAAATTTTAATTTTTGGAAAGTGCATATATTTTCATTTTTACATTTTAATTTTTCTACTTACTTTTGTGATTAAAAAAATATATATATTTTCAGACGAAAGTTAAAAAGCATTTTGAAACATTTTGTTCGTTAGCATGAATAATAACAACCAATCAACTTAAGGATTTTATTTAACATTTGACATTTTTTTAAAAACATTACATTTTTTAATTAAAAGTTCAACCAAGAACCTTCTAAAGTATTGTTTTCTTGAATGACTTGGTTCAACATATCAAACCAAGAAAATAACTATAATTAGGTCTGTTTTAATAATTAATTAACGTTTACAACAGTAATAACCAATATTTATTTGCAAAACAGCCTAACTTTCTAGATTGACAATAAAAAAACAAAACACGGTAGTTAATAAATTTGTTTTTGCATTATTTGTGCGTAATGTTTTGAAAATATTTGATTTAAAATAAAATGAATGAGTTATTTTAAGAAAAATTTTAATTTTTTTCATGCTTTTAAATAAAATATCTAAGTAATCAAAGAAAGTAATTGTTTTAAATTTTAAATTGCATTAAACTTTAGGGAAAATTTTGGACGTAATTTTAAAAGTAAAGTTGATAAAGGCGTTGCAAAAAAATAGTCACAATTTTTTAACGCTCATTTTTCAATTTATTTTTAACAAACATTAACTTAGCTATGCAGGCTATTTTACTTAATTTTTATAATAAGAATTAGTGTAATGTTATCTAAAGATAACATTACACTAATTCTTATTATAAAAATAAGTAAAATAAGTGCTCGTAAACAATACCAATTTAATTAATTGAATGTGTTTATTTTCAGAAACTTTTAACAGATATGGGAAAAAGTTATAAAAGTGGAGCTTTAAAAAGAAAGAAAAAAGCAGTAATAGAAGAAAACATAAAGAAATATCGAAAACTTGATAGTTATGAATAAATGCAATGAACTAATCATATTGATGGCGAGAAAATTTTTGCAATCAATCAGTGACGATGTTTCAAAATCTAACTATTATGGATTATCAGTAGATTCAATACCTGATGTGAATCACAAAGATCAACTATGTGTGATCTTGAGGTACATTGATCAAATTTAATGAGCCTATTAAAAGATTTGTCATCTTCATCCACATAGATAATCACACCGGGGAAAATTTAACAAATGCAATCGTGGAATTTTTGAACGTAAAATTGAACTTGGAAATCAGCAACTGCAGAAACCAGTCTTATAATAACTCAATCAATTGGGAGAGATGGGTAGTTGTTTCCATTGAGAAGCAATACGACTTTGAGGCTCTAGGATGAACTGTCTATGAATAGGCACCATTCAATAAGATTACATGCGATACCTTTAGATTGGAAAATATGGCATGAAAACTAGAATTTTGGAGTTCAATAAGCTGGCAAAATTTTTGCCATATTTAGGTCATTCTCTTAACTTAGTAAGAGATGCTGCTGTAGATTGTGTTGCATCAAGGGAACCAATTTTTTTGGAATTGTTCAAGAACTGAACAATTTTTTCTCTGCTTCTACAAAATTATGGAGCGTTTTGGAACAGGTCGCAGGTAGTTCATTGAAATCACTATCAAATACTCGGTGGAGCCCTTATGCTGACTCGGTCAAAACCATTTACCAAAACTAAATAAATTAATGGTAGGATCGGTCAAAATTAATGAGAGTGAGAGTTTTAAAACAAAAGGAAGAGCTGCGGCTGGAAATTTACTATCGAAAATGGAAACTTTTAAATTTGCTGTACAAACAATAATATGGGATTATATTATTGTTTGTAAAGCAATATGAATGCTGTTTCCAAATCAATGCAAAGTGCAACTATTTCTCTAGATACATCTGCTAAACTTAATTCATTTCTTGGAGATTATCTTCTTGAATTAATTAACACATTCGATTTAATAGAGCAACATGCAAAACTACTGTTACCAGAAATAGATTGTTTACAAATGAGACGCCGTAATAATAAATTGCTTTTAGGTTAGGTAAAATTGCTTTTAGGAAAACTGATCAGAAGAACCTTAATTAAGTCCACGTAAAGAGTTTAAGAAGGTTTTTTTAAAAACTATCAATAATCTTACTACAAATTTAAAAAAAAGAGATCAATGCTATCAGGAATAGAATGACAAATTTGTATTTTTAATAGACACAAGGTTCAACAAGGATAAGCTGAAAACTTGTGTTAATCGTCTGGTGGAAGACTACACAGAAGATATTGATGATAATTTATATGCAGAAATTGAACATCTACACCTGTATTTGAAAGAACATTTTAATACTCAAGTTCCTGAATTAAGATTTGCACAAACTTATAAAAGAATAACAAATGGAGGCTACATTTTCAAATACTGAAATCTTTTTTAGAATTTTCATATGTTTTATGATATCCAACTGCTCTGGAGAAAGATCATTTTCAAAATTAAAATTAACAAAAAATGATTTGCGATCAACTATGTCACAAAAAATGTTAAACAATTTTGTATTATTATTAAGTAACGTAGACAAAAAGTAGTCAATTAATATAGATTCATTGATTAATGATTTTGTTAATAAAAAATACAGAAAAAAGATTATGTATATTTTAAACAATATTAAAAAAAAAATTGAAATAAAACTTTTAATTAAATAAAATAATAATTAAAAAAAAACTTTTTAATTAACATTTTATTTCTAAATATAGGGCCGCAGGTTTTTTTTCGACCTAGGACCCCTAAAACTGTAAACCCAGCTCTGCGTGTATATATATATATATATATATATATATATATATATATACATATATATATATATATATATATATATATATATATATATATATATATATACATATATATATATACATATATATATATATATATATATATATATATATATATATATATATATATATATATATATATATATATATTATATATGAAAAACTAATATATATATATATATATATATATATATTTTAGTTTTTCACAAGAAGACGTGCAATCGCACACAGTTATATGACCAGGCATAAAATAATTTGTTTTAATGATTTGACCACGGCTTTTGACATATTTTCAAAATTTAAAAATGTGTTACAAAAACTTACTTAAACTTATCTAAAAAAAAAAATTTAAAAAAGAAAAAAAAATCTTAACAAAAGAGAAAATAAAAAAATACTCAACTAGAGCAAAAACAAACACAAAACAAAAAAAAACTCCATTTCATTCTTTGTTTTAACATTTGTAACTTGTTTTTTGTTATTTAATATGTTTAAAGATGAACATTTATCATAATTACATGAATTACAAAATACATAACTATACAAGTAAAAAAAAAAACAACAGTTTTTAATACTTATAAAAATTTATTAGAAATGTTTTGTTACTCCATTAAAAAGCATTTCGATAATATAATTTATTTATAAGTTATTTAATTTTAATGGCTTTCTAAAACATTTGTCTTTTTTTTTTTTCAAAGAAATTTTGTTTATCTTTTCAAATGTATTAACTTTAATTATTCTTATACTGAAATTCTTTAAAAAGACTTTTGTTGTTGTAGAATGTCATCAGTTATAAAAACAAAACAATTTTTTATTTTTTAATAACGTTTATTATAAAAAATGCACATTTAGACAATTTATATATTATAAGTTAAAAAAATATATACCACTGTTCATTAAACTAAAAAAAACATTATTAGTAAATTGTTACTTTATTTATAAGCGTTTTGCTAATATAAAAACATTTGTTCAAAGTTTTGATATAATTTATTTCACTCAAGGTATAATTCAGAATATTTTTCATATATATATATATATATATATATATATATATATATATATATATATATATATATATATATATATATATATATATATATATATATATATATATATATATATATATATATATATATATATATATATATATATATATATATATATATATATATATATATATATATATATATATATATATATATATATATATATATATATATATATATATATATATATATTGTAAACAATGACAGGAATATTGTCTGGACCACAATTTATGGTCCAGACAATATTCTTTAATTGAAAAATGTCTTAAGTAACTCAAGCCAGAGTGACAATGAAAGATTAACAATGAGTTAATCTGTTTAACTGAAATGGCAGGAGTATGACTATTAGATTCAAGAGTCAAATTAGAAGAAAAGTTGTATGCAAATAGTTCAGGCTTTATCGTTAGGAGAGGTAAAAAGACCAGTTCTATGAATGAGAATGTTAGGCCTATATTTGTTAAAGACTTTCCTTTTTTTTTGTTAAAGATTTTCCAAAAATCTCTGGAGCCTAACTTCTGAGATACGAGATTTTTGATAAGATACGAGATTTAGTAAACTTGAAATAATTGAGCTCAATACCAGACAACACCTTTTTATTTGATTTCTTACAATAATAATAATAAAAAGACGCCTGTTCTCAAGAGAGTTTTTCTTTTGAAGATGCAAAGATGCACGAGAAGGAGAAATCATGGAGTTGAATGAAATAAAAGAAATAAAAGCTTTCATACCTACCTGGATACAGAAGGTTATGTAGGAAGCGCATTTAATAATAGAGAGACCAAAAACATCAGCCAAAGTACCCAATAGTTACAAAGAAAACTACAAAAAAAATCTCAGTCAGCTTTATGGTAGTAGTAAGTAGTGCGATATCTTAATCTTTAAAATAAACAATAAAAAATTACTGCTTTAAAATCAAAAAATTATAAACAATTACAATAGAAATAACAAAAAATACTTTATATATTGATCTTCCTTTTGGACACTCGATACGAGTTACTGAAGAACTATCAATTAAGTCCAAGGCACCCTCAAGAAGAGTAGGAAAAACACAATTTAACACTGACAAAAACTCATCTGAAATTACTTTATCACTTGAATTATTTTTTTCATCTTCATAACTTTTAAGTTGCATTAATATCTCTTTGCTAATTATCAATAATTCTTCCATCTCTAAAGATTACATTTATTTCTATATGCTATATAAAAGCAACCAATAAAAAAATTAATTTTACTTTTTCTATATTTTATACAATATAAGTAATAAAAAAAATAATAAAAAGTTATTAAAAAATGATAATAATGATTATTGTGAGTGAGACTGTATTCTATATCTATTCATAATGATTATTTCTTTAATGTCTTATCTCTATATTTTTTATAAAACTAAGGCATTCAATCTTAATTTTAATTGTTTTTTTACCTAAAAATAAGGTTTTAAGATACCCTGTTAAAACTAAAAAATTATACAGTACCTCTGTATTATTATACAATTTTTTTCTTATAACAAACCACAAGTTTAACTAAAAATTTCCTTAAACTTAACAGCATTACTTCTAAAAAAAATTTCAACCAAAAAAAAAAATAGTTTATTTCTATCTGGTTGGATATTATCAATATTAAATCTGAGTTATATATGTTCAAAAAAAAATGTGTTATGTATGTTAAATGACATTAAGGTATACAAAAAAGCAAATAAATAGTTCCAAAAGATTAACAAGACATAAAAATGTCTTATAAACTTTTTATGTTTCTTAAACATTAATAGAATAAAGCTATAAAAATGCTTAACAGAGATAGGTGGAGAATATTTACATTTTGATCTGAATTTAAATAAATAAAAAATTTAGAGTAAATCAAAACACTTACCTTTTTCTACTTTAATTCTACAACAATGCTTATAAAGTTATTACATTAAAGATATTCTTATGCAATACATGTTACTTTGATATCTGTAGATATTTTGAGATATAAAATGTCTCACAGCGCAATTTAATTATAATATGTGACCATGAGATTTAGATGTCTATTGCTATGTCAAGAAGTTGACTGCAACTATTGGCTCTTGGAACAGCCACTTTTGGTCATGCAGTTTGAGCTTTACTTTTATAAAAACTAGTTTCAAAATATCATTTTAATGTTTTTATGTTGCATTCAAGTGTTACAGTAAAATATACAGCATTGCCACTGTTAATTCTTAAGCATACATAACAACATAATAAAATTTAGATTTAAATTAACAAAAATTAATCATGAATATACTATTGAAAACTCAAAAAAAAAATTTCCACCAACTTTAAAATGTTCATAATTTATGATTGTGACTATAAACTGATACACTTCACAATATAGTAAATTTAGTTATATTTTGAAAGTTATTTTACATTCTATTAATTAACTATATCTCGATAAAGTGTTTTAAATGTTTCAGTTTATGAAAATGTTTAGCATTGACACTAGAAAGAAACAATTTAATACTGATAAAGTCTTAGAAACAATAGAATGTTTTTAAATAAGTTATCTTTAAAACAATATACTTAACAATTTTTTACTATCTTATAGCTGGAGACTTGTGTGTTTATAACATAATTAGAGGTTATTTATTTTAATATTATATTATTACTTTATCATACAGTAGTTTTTCTTTTTATTGCTATCAAATTGTAAAAAGTAAAAATAATATAGAACCTATATTATTTATAATTTATAAAAGATTATTATATAGTATAAGATAATAAGGGTGTCTAAAAGGCGGCGCGGCGCGGATCCGACGGAGTAGTATGCAGGATCAACTTAACGGTAGCGTTCACTGTACAGTAAACCGTACCGAAAGGTAACAAACACTGTACAGTGGTTGCTGCTTAGGTGCAAATCACTGTACAGTAATTCCTACCGGCTAGGCACCAAACACTTAACTCAGGTAACATGTACTAACGGCAAAGAAAACGTTTTTAAAAAGAGTATTTACATTTTTTAGTTTAAACTTATTTTTTTTTAATAACTTTTAAAATAATTGGATTAAATTAATTTTATAATACGATTTAGGTTAAATTTTTTAAACTTCTTTTTTCTAATTAAATAACATTACAGAAGAGTTTTTAGAACATGATCTCCTTCTTAAATTTGACGTGTTTTGAAGTTTATAACTGAGTATTCTTATTTTCACTAATACTTTAAGGTCACCTTTCAAGGTTAACGAGGTTGTACTACCCTTATTGACATATAGATTATGGGTTTTATTTCAGATTTTTCTTCTCCTTAGTTAGTTGATTTCACTGCAACTAAGGAGTCGTATTTGCTCTATATAAAGCAAGTTGTATTGGATTACATGTATTTCAGAAGAAGGATGACCTGACCCGAGTAGTTAAATCAATTTGATAAGTCTTATTGCTGTTGTAACCACAATGTTAGTAAAAGTTTTACAAATAAAATATATTTTTGTGAAGGCTGCTTTTAGCCCTTCGTAGACCCTGGTGTAGTAAGTTTTGTTGGCCCCTCACATCTTTGATCGGTTTTCTATGCTTTGTTAATTGATTAGAGTAATATTGTTTTCATAAAAATACTATTATGAGTCCCAAATATGGGTAAAATTCCTAATATAAAACATTTTAATTAACGCTCAAAGTTCATCTACATTTTAATTTTTTCATTCAGTAAAAATTCCGTTGTGACACGCTAGTGACCCTTTTTTAGTTCCTGGACAACTGTACCTGTCAAGGGTAAAAAAGCATTGATTTTAGAAGACTACAAATATCAGTTGAGGTTGGCTGTCTTCTAAAATTTTATAATTTTAACTTTTTATAATTAACTCATTGGTATTTTAAAATCTGTGTTGGCATTAAAAAAAAAACGCTTTTTTTTTAAAATCCCAACAGATTTTTTTTCTTGTATGCTAAAACTTAAATCAAAACTTAATAAGGGAGAGTTATAAAACAAGTCCATGATTAGTTTTAAAATGATAAATTGCATAACATTTTGGATTTACAAGATTAGTCAAAACAATCTTAAGTCAATAAGAATTATAAATATATAAAACTTTTTAAAAAGTCAATAAAAATACAACTTAATGTGAACAAAAATCAACTGACAGCTAAAACTCTATCATAATGTACACCAGCATTTTGCAGTTAAACTATTTGGTCATTTTCCTTTATTTCCATCAGTTTAAACCCATTTGTATTTTGAAGAAGAGATTTGTAAAAAAACCACGAAAATACAGAAGGCTTATAGTAAACAGCAATTGATGTATCCAAGGCAGTTGCTAATGCATATATTTTGACATCAGTACCCCATATTTGATCAGTCTCCATTTTTGAATCACTAATGTATTTTAAAACTGGTTTTGATATATAAGCATCAAAAGCATTTTTAAAAGAGTATCAATTGCTAGTTGACGCAGTATTTTATAAAACTCTTGACTTTGACAAACTTCCTGACTTAAAGTTCAAAATAAGCAATTTCCATCACCTTCAATTTTATCAACACTTATCGGTTTTCCCATCTGTAACTTTTTTTTTCGTACAGCAAAACCTTTTTTAAAAGGTGTTTTATTAGACAAAGAAATCTTCAACAGGGAGCATTTCTTTGTTCTCCATTTACTATTAGTAGGTATAAAAGAGTTTGTTTTGCTAATAACAACTTCAAGAATTTCTAAAGATTCAGATTTAATATCAGATGATTTTTGAAGTATTTCAACTTCAGATCTTTTCTTTGAAAGTTTCATGTTTGAACCATGATGCTTGGTATAAAGTGTTTCACCATTTTTTTGTTTTAGCTGATAAAGTCCTTTATCAATAAATGTTTCTAAACAGATTTCCCTTCATCACTTTTTCTATTAGCTCTTCTAAGATTATAAATAAAAACTTAATTGCCTATATTGAATTAAATTTGGTTTTTGTGACGTTTCTCATAGTCCATCTTTTGTCGCAATCGAGATTTCTTAATATTTTTTTCTACTTCATCATGAATTATACTTTGAATGTTTTTAATTCCTTTTAAGTTTTCAAGCAAATCAGCCTGTTTCAAAATACCTTAAAAAAAAAACAACTAAATGTATAAAATAAAATTTAATAAATTTATTCCATTTGTTTATTAAAATTAATTTCCTTCTTCTATGTCTAAATCAACATGTACATCATGAATTAAGCTTTGATCATTAATTATGCAATGTAAGAGTAAAACAGGCTCCCTTGCATACATAACTTGAAAGGGAGTGACACTAGTTGACTTGTGGCAAGTTGTTCGAAATGCAAACAGTATGCCATCTAATGAATGAGGTCATTTTTCTTGCTTTCCGTTCAGCACTTTAAGCATAGAACCCTGTATATTTAATAGCTAATAGAACCCTGTTCTATTAGCTCTTTCAAATAATTGTTGCACTTGCTATTTACAGTTTTAGTATTAACGTAAGGCAAAAATTGAAGTCTTAAGTCTTAAAAATCTTTGCGTCCGTCTTGGCCTTGAAACTCTAAATCTTAGCCTTGACCTTGGCCTTGTAACTTTCGGCTTTGGTCTTGTAACTTGTGGTAAAGGCCTTGCTACTTTTGACCTTGTTAACAACTGTTATATAATAATTTACTATATAATAATCTTGATAATAATAATAATAATAATAATAATCTTAATTTGATCTAAAAAAGTTACTACATACAAAAAAGAAGAGATAAATATTAAAATTTTAAACGTTTAATTTTGAAATATTGTTCAAACAAATACCCCGGTGATAAATGAGCTAGCGACTAGCGAGCGACTAGCTAGCTTTATAGCGATTTTTAAGCAATTTTTTTTATTCTTCACTAATGTCTCTAACATCTTTAAAAATTCGATTTTTAGTGTTGAGTCTATTATAGTTATGAGAATAATTGAACTTTAAACATTGCGATTTTGTAGCAATGTGTCGCTAGCTACATATCGTAGCTTTGTAGCTAGCTACAAAATATCTACAAATCTATAGCTGGTTGATAGCTACATACCAAAATTTTTTGATAGCGATTTTATTACGATATGACGGTAGCTACAAAAGCCTGTGAGTCTTTAGCTTATTAAGCTAGCTGTCCTTGTAGCCGAATCGCTGTCTTTATCTTTACAAATATCGATAGCTTTTCGCTAACTGAAAAAAGCTAGCAATCCTCGTGGCCAAATCGCTGTCTTTATCGTAACGATTATAGCTAGCTATTCGCTAGCCGATTTCCCACAGGGACTATACTGTTATAGCAGTATGC